CATCGTCAGCGTACATTAAAGGTCTACCACACCGAAAACAATCAGGAACATCGTTGACAAAAAGGCAAAATAAGAGCGGCCCAAGTATACTACCCTAAATAACTACACTCCTCACATGTGTGGGGTTAGCGATGACATTGGAAATGTTAATTCGTTGTGCACGAGCAAACAAACAGGAGGATACTAAATTCAGGAGTTTTTTTACCTATATCGAAAGAGGCAAGTTTCAGAAGGAGGAGATTATGATGAACACAACAAAGGCGTTAGTGAAATCTAAATATACTGTATAAAGGGTAAAATCACTGTCTCTAGATTATAGCACATAATCAAAGAGAGCTGGCAGGTGTCACAGGATTTTTTTCGAGGAACCCGTGCTGAGCTGCATTAACTAAGTTGTTCACCGTCAAATGACACATCATTTTTTTTCTTTTATCTAGGTCTCCAAGGTCTTCGAGGTAGCGGGAAGTGTATTTATTGGCCTAAAGTAGTCAAAAGACGTCGATTGGCTGTGCTTAAGAATAGGCAGTTTGTGCGATTCCTTCCACAATCTAGGAAAGGTTTCGCCTTCAAGAGCAAGATTGAATAGCTTACACAGAATCGACAAAAAATATCATTCGTTTCAGCCTTTAGAAGGCTGCAAGAATGCCATCTATTCCAGGACTGTAAGATTGACGAAAACGGCGGATGGCTACAGTCACGTCCCAGACGGTAACATTCATGTTTTCGAGGACGGCACCCGTCCAAGCCCGGATAGTCGGAAGTGCAGTGACCGAATTTTCACTAACAGCTCTGAATTGGAACGCATTGAAGATATCAGCGGTCAACTTAGCGTCAGAAATGTGGTTTCCTAAGGCGTCTTGAGGTATGTGGTGTTGCGCTTTTCTCTGTGTGAAAAGAGTTTCAAAACATTTAGCCTAGAATTTTCAGCAAGTTGACCTCATCGGCTGTGCTTTTCTTCGGAGAGCTTTTTAGCCTCCTCAAAGATCAGTTGGTTTAAGGACAGAAAGGAAGTGTCCTTCTATTGATGAAAACGGCATGAGAGTCTACGTAGCCTACGGTGGAAAGACAGAGGAAGGTACACTTCATCCTTGACATGTATTATTTTCTTACGCGGGAATCAAATTTGAGAATGAGTGGATCCAGCACTTTGTACAGTGTATCGGTACAAACATTTACAGAATTGGAGGATGAGTGGATCCAGCACTTTGTGCAGTGTATCGGTACAAACATTTATGAGGATGAGTGGATCCAGCACGTTGTACAGTGTATCAGTACAAGCATTCACATCCAAACAATAAAAGAAGTCAGACCAGTCGAGGGAGTTAAGATGTTTTAGTAATTCCACCGTATTTTCTGATCGGAAGTCATGGAAAAACTATATTTTTGGGAAAACCCTGCGTCCGCCTCCAGTTCTAGCGGAAACCATTGCACTTCAGGAAGATTGAAGTCGCCTACAATCAAGCAGTACTTAAAATTTAAGTCAGCTGCAGCATGCAATGTCTGCGAGAGACAAATATCGTAGTCATCACTGGCATTGGGTGGGCGATACACACAGCCAAAGAGAAAGGTGTAGTTATTCCTTAGAACAGCTCAGAGACAGCAGCTCTCATCTACGGCCGTGAAATGTGGATAGTCTAGCGGCTGAAATATAAGTGGTTGCTAAAAATAGATGCAGCTTCCTCCACTATGGCCATTGTTACGATCACCCTGAATTCAAGCATAGCCTAGAATAGAGAGTGCGGATTCAACTACACAGGGCGATGCCCTGTGACCAACTGTGACTTATTGTGTTTCCGAAAGAAATTCTCCGCATTCCACACCTGTTAAATGAGCTGAATGCGAATTTTATGATATTTTTCAAGATAACTGAAGGATATAGGACGGAAAAATGATAAAGGAATTAAATTACTAAAGATAGCTTCGGCCTTTATTTGTTTAACTGGGCTAGCGACACAGCGAATATTTGACTGCCTTTAGCAATGGTTGGCTTTCCGCCAATGTTACAAATGGAGGAATACGTCAAAAAGTTCGAGGCCTACATGAAAAGTGGCAGTCGGCACGCAATCTACCCGTGGACGGTAACAGCGAGAATTCGCCAGTTCCCCTATCTCTGGTATTATCGCAATAACCACTTTGTTAAGTGGTATGTACTGACAATGCCGATTTTCGTTCCACTATCCGTTTACTTGTTGTACAAGTGCCACTTCATCAAGAAGAAAATGACCACTGTGTATGATCCGTTCAATCCGAACGAAATACCTATTACGAAGCTTCATGACCACTAGTCTTCGATAGCCGGCGAACTTTCACGTAGACTTTATTTTACCGGAATTTTACTCAATTCACGAATAGAAATTGTTGCCGATTTGTTGTCATTTTTCCTGAAGCGTTTTCTTATAAGTTTAGCAAAGTTAATTCTAGATGCACGGGGCCGTCAAGGTTATTGATGTTTCGAT